TACGCACACATCATGCACACACACGAAAACACCATGCATGCACAAACCATACACTAGTGCACACCCCATGCATGTGCTCACACAGTGCACAAGCACATACACATCAAGCATGAGCGTGCACACAAACACACAGACACACAGACACACACACACAGACACACAGACACAGACACACACAGACACAGACACACACACACCATGTACACATAAACACCATGCACAGCAGAATCGCTGTGTGTGTGTGTGTGTGTGTGTGTGTGTGTGTGTGTGTGTGTGTGTGTGTGTGTCTTTGAGTATGAGTGTCTGATGAGTGTGTCTGACAAGTGTGCGTCACTGATGAGTGAGTGTGTGTGTGTGTGTGTGTGTGTGTGTGTGTGTCTTCGAGTGTCTCTGTTGTGTGTGTATTTGTGTGTGTGTGTGTGTGTTTGTTCTCCTGAGCGCTGTGTGTTCTGCAGGAGAATGTGATACTGCAGTATTGACCTGTGCAGTGTAGATGATCTGAGTTTGTGTGAGTGAGTGTGTGTGTGTGTGTGTGTGTGTGTGTGTGTGTGTGTGTGTGTCAGTCAGAGCAGCTCCAGGTCTCCTGTGTGTAGAGGAAGCAGACGCTTCACCTCTCTGCAGGGTTCAGTGTATACTCAGTAGCTGATGTTCCTCTGTAACTGTAGTGGGAGTGAGCGCTGATGATGGTGTGTGTTGCTTTGCTCTGCGGCACAGTTCAGGCTTTATCTTTACTTGATCTTCAAGATCTACAGTTAACGATCCTCTGCTGCTTTCAGTGTGTCGCGTAAAACAGTGTTCAGACTCACATTATGAGCGTTTAACACTGAATAAAGCACATAATCAGCTCCTGAGGGGATGGTGCTCGTTGTGGTTGATGCTGTTGTCCTGCGGTGAGAAATAGAAACTGAAGTAGGAATGTCAGGTGATGTCTAGAACAGAAACTCTTTTTAACATGGAAAATATTCCTTTTCTCGCATGTGTACGCATGTATTCAGGACGCGGTGTAGGCTCGATAGTGCTGCTCCTGTTGGTATCGTCAATCTGGCAACCGTCGTTTGTGAGGAGCCGGGTGAAGAAGTGTATTCAATCAGGAGTGCAATACCTAGTTCAACCACTGGGTGTCAGATTTGCATGCTGCACCTTTAAGGCACTTACACTCATGATGTGTTCACACCAGAGGCGAATGAAGCGTCAGGTTTGAGTGATTTACATGTTACGTCAATGCAAAGATGTGAAAAGACATCCTGCGGTGCGATTGACATGAGTGAAGCGGTGCGAGTTAACCGTCTGACATGCAGATTACGCAAATCATTTATGGACATTCATGCTATGTTAACCAATCAGGAGCTTGCTCTAGTGCAGGTGTGATTATGACGTAGCGCCTGTAGTGTGTGTCACGAGGGGAAATTGTCTTGTCGACACTAGACAACGGCTCATCAAACTGGGCTGGGCTCACTCTGAAGCACCGCTGAAAGCCTCCATCATCCAGGTACCGTTTCTGGAGGAGCTGATGAACTGCTGCACGTCTGACAGGATCTAGTGGACTCAAGACAGAGACGCTGAATGAGTCTAAGCTGTTTATCAGCCTTCCTAAAGCACATCTACTATCTCAATACAGTCCATGTTAGCCAGCGGTGTCCAAAGTCGGTCCTGGAGGGCTGGTGTCCTGCTGAATTTAGCTCCAGCTTGCTTCAACACAGCTGCCTGGACTTCTTCTGGTATACCTAGCTTGATGAGCTGCTTCAGGTGTGTTTGATTAGGGTTGGAGTTAAACTCTCCAGGACCGAGTGTGCACACCCCTGATGTTAGCCATTTAGCAACGAAACTAGAGCGTGACACGGCTGGTGTGAACACAGCATCAGGAAGCAGTGATGAGCGCTCACTCAAAGACTACAGTGTTTGGTTTAGGGAACGGGTCTCAAACTGGATTCCTGGAGGGCCGCAGCTCTGCAGCGTTTTGCTCCAACCCTATTCAAACACAGCTGATCCAAATAACCGAGAGTTCTGAAAGAGTCTCCAACAGCTTGATTAGTGGCATCAGCTGTGTTTGATTAGGGTTGGAGCAAACGCTGCAGAGCTGCGGCCCTCCAGGATCCAGTTTGAGCCCTGTGGTTTAGGGGCCATAACACAGACTGTAGATGACAAGCCACATCACTGGAGTCCAACGGGAGAAAGCATATATGGTGAATAAAGCCCCGCCTACTAGCACAGGAGCCAATCATTGATCGCTGTAGATCTGTTAGTCAGGGGGAGACGTGTGTTTAGGACAGTTTCTGCAGCTTCATCATGATCCTCTGGGGTTAATAAATGCTCTGAAACGCAACAGCTGAATTCTCAAACCAAGCTACACATGAAAACCCGAGTTCTGCTACTCTGCAGTCTGCATTAAACACACATTAAACAAACCAGAAGCTTTATTCAGAGGATGATGATGATGATGTGAACACAGACAGGCCTCAGTGAGGTTGGTGTCGTGATCTCGTTCTCAGCCAGCGTGCATTAGTGTAGCCGAGCTGAAGAATGCAGATTTACTTTGATCATGTAGAATCATGTAGAGAGTCACTGTTGAATTGTATGAATAACTCCAGATCTAGTATGTAATCGTGAGCTTGAAGAGATCTGGCTGTTTCCCCGTGTGCACAGAGCGATAGGAGGCTTTTCAAAGATGGCCGGCGAGTGAAGTGGCGGTGACCTTGTGTCGTCCTGGCGAGCGGCTGTGGTGTGTGTAGTGTCTGTTGTGTAATTGTGTGTGATGGCGGAGGCTGTTTGGCTGGCCAGGATGTGTTTCTGGTAGCGTGCGCTGTTATTCTTGCA